GCTGGGACCTCAGAAGCCCGACTCGAAGGTGGGTCAGTTCATTGAACCCGAAATGGTGTCGCTTTACCCACCCCGCAAAAAGGAATCCTTGAGAAGACGGCTTTCATTTGCGTTTGAGACTATTTTACAGTTCCTCATGGGTTTCCAAGGGATCCTGTCACTGGAAATAGTGTTGATTTCGTTCAGGGAGCAAAGCATAGCAAAACCAATGCAAATGGATGATGGTCATTTGGGTATACATGTGTTTGAATAGGGATTTAAACCCCAAGAACAGTAGGTTTCATTTTGGCATCACTTTCTACCCACTCCAAAAAGGGAAACCCTTAAAAGACACACACACACACAATGTGTATATATCCACGTTTTTCTACATATAAGCTCCAAACCTGGAAGCAAACACCTACTGTCATGGCCAATGGGAATCGGTTTTGGGTTTGATCCTGAAAGCCCAGATCTCAAGAGTTATTTTTTTGTTTGCCTCGCTTGTCTTTGGTTTACTGTAATTCCACTCCAATAGTGGTCAATCAGGGAAACAATTATCCAGTGAACGACTGAGGAACTGGGGCTGCGGCAAATTGCGGCAAGTTCATTGGAGCCTGAGAATTGTGAGCCGTTATTCCACTTATCACTAGATTCCAGATATCAGAGCCCTGAATACAATCGCGACTCAGCCCCTTCTCGGTTTGGAACTTTGCTGGCGGTGAAGGCCTTATGCTAGAATATAATATAGCTGACATCGTCTTTACCATTTGTGATGACCTAAGTACAATCGGAATTGGCAAAACTGCCGCAGAATGACGGAAATTAACCAAACAAAAACGGCCCATGACTCATGACTGTTTGGCCCAGACCTGTGGGGAATTAATTCCCTGCATTTGGAGGGGGGCCGCCTTTAAAGCTCTAGGGTTGATTCCTTTTCCATTCTTTCCGGCCAACCACCATTAAAAAAGAAGTCCGGGCTTCCCGAGGTTTCTAGAAATAAGGATCCCTGGAAAGAATGTGGAAGGTACCCCTAGAAAAAAACTGTCAACTACCAGAAAGGGCTGCCATTTGAAACTTGTTTCCCCGTGGCCGCTGGATGCTTGTTGGCTGTGTGTCGCTTGCTTTGATTGCCACTTGGGGTGTACAGGTTTGCTTGAGTTTTGGTTTAGCGGCTTTTGTTCCCCAACGGCCGAAAGCTTTTGGGGTCTTTGGCCACATTGGCCCCCGAGTGGTTCTGAGTGCAAGTGCTGTTGAGGATACCACCTGGGATTCTTGCCTGTGTTTGTATTTTCCTGCTGGTTAAACAGTATGGTTTGGCCGGCCGCGCATTGGAAGGAGTTGAGGTCAAATGTTTCAACATGAATGACTTGTTTTGAACTGGATCTGGCCCCAACTTTTCCTTGCTGGCTGCTTTGCACCAGTAGCTGAAGAGCGTCCTATCCAATTTGATCTTTGCGGACAGGACTGAGTGACTTATTTTTGCCCGGATGCTTGCCGGCTGTGTCGGGTTCGCCCAGCATTCCCTGGGCATCAGAAAGGGAGGACCCAATGCCGTCTTCAGGACCGTCAGCAGCTCATTGAGCTTCGGGGGGGGGCACAAGGAGACAATTGGGAGGCGGAGATTTCGAACGGTTTGGTATGAAGAAGGCTATATTGAGCCACGTGCAACCGAAGAGGGCCAAAAATACATCCAACAAATGTGCAGCTAAGCTGGAATACGGCCAAGCAATCAACGCCGACCAAACACCGCCAAAGAAGAAGCGCTTTTTTGGGGGTGATCATGGCATTGCTTTATTTGGGGTGCCTTTCCTGGATGTTTTTGGGGGCATGTACTTTTATCATAGCATGTTTCATGCCAAAGCCCAACGCGGCTTTTGGCTCAAGCTTTTCAACCCGTGGACTCGCACCCGCAATTTCGGCGCCAAAACATCGCGGCACGTGGTGCACTTCATCAGCACGTTGTGCTGTTGCCGTGCGCCTGTGGTGGTGTCCTTGGCGGAGGTTGGTCGGGGGTATTGGTTGGGGTTGGTGCGCACTGGTTTGCTTTGCTTGCTTCGCTGCATTGTTTGCCTGCTTGGTTTGCTGCTTTGTGCTTGCTTTCGGTTGCTTCTGCCCTTGCTGGGTTTCTTACCTTGTTACAACTGGCACCCTGTTTTGGTTCGTGTTTGGCCAGCCGAGGGCACCGCTTTGCCCTTGGGACTGGGGGACTTAAACAATCTCTTCTTGTTGGTGGGATTGGGCCTGTTTATTCTCTCCCGAAATACTGTTTCAAACCCTTTCGCAGGTTATCAGCCGTAGGATTCGTCCTCGGTTGGCACCGCGAACCCCATTTAATAACAACCCTGCAGGCGCCGTTTTCCATAGGCTACTGTAGGACTCATGACGGGAATCACAGAGGATGGACCTCATGTGGTGACCGATGAGTGGGTTCTCGGCCAGGCCGGAATCTTGGACGTTGTGAATGACGACCAAGTGCCCGGACAGCCGATGTTTTCCGGTCCTGACTTTTTGTCGGACCACACTTTTTCAGAAGCAATGCCTTCAGGAAGGTCCAGTGCTACTCGCACTGATGACCTATCGTCTAATGCCTCAAGAGCTAATCGCTCTCAGGGTCATGGGGCTAATCGTCCTGACCATGATGATTCCGTCTCTGGACGTGATGATGACGAGCCCGGTATTGCACCTGGAGCTCAATCCTCATCTTTCCCGGAGCTGATGAATATTGGTCAGTCCGAGTTTCGTGACTCTCGAAGTAGCAGTAGACCTGTGCCAACCAGTAGTATAGTTTTTCAAGCGCTCGGTAATCCCGAACCTGGTACATCCAGTGGAGTTGCATTCGATGTTCATCTGCCGACCGAATCCGGTGGGCTCGATTGGAGAGCCTCATGGCCCAACGACGGAAACATTTTTGGTATGGATTTTGCCGCATGGATGCCGGGGCCACCCGCCCCGTCATCTTTCCCGCAATTCCAAAGCCCAAAACGGGCTGCTGGAAGCGATGAATTCATGCTACCTTTGTCGATTGAGAATCTCAATCCTGACGTGGCCAGCCGTAACGTCAGGCCAAGGCCGTCGGTAAACCTGACCATGAGGAACATGTCCCCTCCCCCAGGACTTTCAGGATTTGAGAGCCCTAGGGAGCGTAATATCGTAGATAGATTGGATTTGCATCCTAGTCCTACCCCAAGCAAACGATCAAGGTCAAATTCGACTGGATCGCATAGGGCTAGGGGGATGGATCGGGAAACTGCCCACAGGGGTAACCCCAGTGCGCGGGACTCAGGACGCGGTCGATCAGGTGATCCAGCGTCGATCGTTGGTAGAGACCCGTTAAACGCGGACACACTCGTTAACGTGCTTGATGGGATCGAAGCATTCCAGGAGGAATTTAATAGGTCAAGTGGCTTGAATGCCCAAGGTGTTCGCCCTACGCCCAATGCGGCTTCCATTTTCGCTCTGGACGACATGGACGGAACTAATGTTCCGATAGAATCTGAGTCCATGATGGCATCAAGTTCCAGTCGCAATCATACTATCAGTAATGCGACTGATATTGAGTCGATGTCTGAATCTAGAGTGTCCAATGCGACCGACTTGAATGACATTGTTGTTGCTGACTCGAGACCTGATGTTCCTATGCGGATGGATAGGCCTGTTGTTCCTAAACTGCCCGTGGCCAAAGGCCTGGGCATGACACAACACTCTGCGGTTCGTGATGCTAGGAGATCTGCTCCGTATCAGAGTCAATCTCCTAATCGGAGTGAGTTTCCACGGCCATCAACGGCCGTGCAGGATGATTTCAGAACTCCTCCGAGATCTAATCCAATCATGGTTGATTTGTCCACTCCTCGAGATCGCGGATCAGGATTTGGTCCTACGAGGGAGGAGCAACCCAACGAGGTTGCTGATCTTGTAACAGCCCTTGAAAGAGGGAGAGTGGACTCTTCGGTAAGTGCGATTATTCATCGCCTGGTTGCTAAGGTCGAAGACCTTGGTCGTAGGAATGATAGAAGTGATCAATGCATCAAGCAGCTCTCCACTGAGGTTAGCTCGTGGAGAGCCAAATACGACCAATGCGTCCATATGAGTGGCACGTGTACGCAGGCTGCGAACGCGGCCATGCAGCTATCACAAGGGACTAAGGACATCGTGACCGAGCTTGGCCAACGCGTCAAGATCGTTGCCGATCGCATGATAAGCATAGGCGATGCCCTAAACGAGCGAGCCAGCTACGATGATGTTGCTCGCTCCATCACCCAGGTTCAAACTGTTTTTGAATCTCTTTCTGATCGAGTAACCGGGCTTATAGCTCGTGTTGATATGATCGAGAGATCTCTAGTGGAGAGCCAATCCAACCATCCTGCTATTGGTGGAGTGAACCTCAAGATCGAGGACCTGTCCACTAGGGTATGTCAGATTGATAGGATGATGCAAGATGTCGAACAACGCTGGACCAACAATAGGGACGGCATAAAGTGGGTTAAAGACCAACTGTATGAGACACAAGCCAACCTTGAGATGAAGTCAAGGGACTGCAAATCCTACACGGACAAGCAGAATACTCATAACATGGCCGTTTCGACTACGCTCAACAGTAAGCTCGAGCAAATGCTCGAGGTGCTGGGTAATACGGCCCAGAGAATTAACTCCCTCGAGTCAAGGCACTCGAACCAGGCCTCAAGTAGTGGATTGAACGATCACACAGGAGGAAGGCGAGCCGCGTCCCGTACTCCGGATAAGCGGCCACCTCCACCTGGCCCTCCTGATGGTGATCCTCCACCACCTCCTCCTCCAGATTGGCAAAGCCCAGGAGGAGGGGGGAAGAAGAGTGCTGCCGGTGGGAACCCTGGCAACCCTGGTAAACCCAGATGTAAATATGTAGGTGATGGGTATAATCATCTCGTGGCTGAGTTTCACTGCAAGGGATGCAGAGGGGATATTTGTGAGTATTGTTTCTCATTTAAAGAGAACCTGTGTGAAGAATGTTCCCGTAACGGACCCCGATGCGGAGTCTGTAG